CATGTGGAAACAGTAACATGATCAACAAAAGAATAACCTTTGTAAGAGCCTTATAACAATATGAAAATATTATTATATTTGATCCATATAAATCTGATATCTTTAGCTGCAGAAATTTTAGAATTACTTGAATAAAATATATTATAAAGATTTTATCTTAGATATTAGTGTCCTTACGTCAGCAACTGCATTAAAGTGACTTGAACTTGATACAGACTGTGTCTCGTCATGTCGTGTTGATTCAAGTGTCTTAGATTGTGCATTATGCAACAAAAGAATGACAAATATCATTTTCATACAGAGAATTAAAATGCACCATACTTCAGATACCAATCATAAATGACAATGCTGGATGATTATGAAGGTGACCTTCCACTTTACAACAGGAACATATCAGGGTACATGAGAATGTGTTACATTTTAGATTCTTAGCTCATCTCAGTGTTTCCTGTCATAATTCCGTGACAAAGTGTTACTTATTCTCGTTCTCCATGTAAGGCATGCGTCACTTCACCTTCACTAGCACTTCCTTGGATTGAGGTGTGTGGGTGTGGACAGGGTAAGGATATACATTTCCCAGTCCATCAGGAAAATAATGGCAAATACTAGACAAAGCCTTGTTAGTCGACTCTCCGTCGCCTCTTGGTTGTCCATGATGCAAATGTGCACCCTCTTTGTTTGTGTTGATGTTCTTTATCCTACAAGCTAGGTCAAATTTGATGTATCATGATGAAATTATTAAAGAATATGCTACAAACCCCTATCTTTGAAACGTGTTCATTTTCATTTTAAGCTCACAAGTCTGACGACATATCTTCAATATTACTACAAGTTTACCAGTATACCCTGATCCTAATCGCTGAAGATTTGGATAAATCGGATTATGTATATTTTCCCACCGATCTTACTGTTTCAAACATGTTGGATACCGTCAGCTGGTTAATGCCTTTCCTTAAATGTCCTAATCGCTGATGATTCGTTACTCGTGTTTACCTAAACTTAACGCGCCGTCAGTCAGGGATTTGGCAGGCAGCAACGGAATGCGAGAGGTTTTGGAACTGTTCCTGAGAAAGTGACTTCTTCAGTATCGTGAGAATTACAAGCGTCCATCTGAGTAAACATTGAACGAGACAAGGTTAGGAACAGGCTTCGGGCAATGTCTTAAAGAGGATTATACTCTCCGCGCATTGTCGAATAAAACCGCGATTTTGCAATGAGTAAATGGACAACCGAAATGTTAGAAAAAATCCCTTTTCGTTCAGAAATAGCATACAGTTTTTACATCCTTGTCGCTGTTAGAAAAAACTGATTGATTTTAGGGAAACATTTTGAATCTTAACAAGTTTATGTGAAATTCACTGAGTATAACTGTCTCCGTTTATTTTATCTGAAACCAGATAATGTAATCAGTTTGATACAGTAACCTTGCTATATATTAGGTAGAGGTTAGACATAAAAGTAACTTAATGGACAATGGTGACGACACGTGTTCCTGTGGTTTTCCTACAGAGTATAAAACCTTTAAAGAATAGACAGGTTGTCGCCAGGTCCAGAATTACCACAATACATAGTTAGGTGACAGAGCGTGCCAAGAAGCCTTGTGGTCGAAAGGATATCCCTACACCCGTATCTTACATTATAAACAACATTTAATATATGTTAATATCTTGTAGACTCCCGATATTTGATAGTACGTTTCTTCCGTGACAAATGTTTGGATTTCTTAAACACGAAATCCTTCGTACCAATTTGACTATTTAGTATTTATCGTGCTGATGATACCTTCTTTGATGTTGTTTAAAATCAAACAATTGACAAACATATTTATATTTTCTGAATATCATGATTCCATTTTTGTCTTCGAATTAACTGATCATGGCTTTGTTGTCGTTTGCGTCTGGCCCATGATGACTCACAAGGCACGACTTACGGATCTACAACCTATAAATTTACATTATAATACATATATATAACTAATTATCCTAATCCTTTGTCTTTGTAACAGTATGATTTATAAAGACTTCGATGACTAATTCCTTATTGAGATCGGGTTTCGTGTTTACTTAGACATGTATATGTTTGGTAGGCTAGATTTGTTTCGGCGATTTTAGTCCTTGAGAACACTGTGTCTAGTCAATACAATAGTTCAGTAAATATGATCGTGATGATATGATAATTTTTTTGTTAAACTATGCCAATTGTAATTCACGGATTTCGTCCAGTTGAAATATTATGTCTTCTATATACAGTGTATCACTGCGTTAACTTAAGAATTTAGATATTTAACTTTCTTAAAGAAACATTAATCATTGTTTTTCTCTCCCTTTATGCTATATTTAGTTCATTTTTATTTTATCTTTTTCTAACATAAGTAGTAGTGTAAGATTTCAAATAATTGTCTGGTGTTATTTTGATGATGAAATTCACACATTATTGTGCCTAATGAATAGAAATATTCGGTTTTGTGATATGAGGTAAAAACATTTATTTCACCTAACGATCCCGCAGCTAATGGCTACAGATTTCATGATAGGAGATTGTCTTTCTTATCAGTATAATTGCGACCTTTCCACAGCTTTTGTATTTTAAACTGTTAAAACCCCTCTTTTTGTGTAAAACCAAATACTTCTGTGTTAAACTTTAAATATCTAAAATAGTAACCAAGGACATAACAGCTTGTTTTAATTGTGGTGTCATTGACTTTAACACGCTCCCTAATTTACTGTAAAGCATCACGATTAATTATTGTTAAAGTTGTCAGGCGAAAATTTCGTCGTTTAACACAGAAATGTGTTTAAATCACCAAAGCAGTTTATAGTGTGATAAGCTTAACAAGAAAGTTACAAAACTGAATCTAATTTTTGTATTGAAAATTGAAATTATGTTTTTAACACTTGATAAAGGCTATTCTCATCTATTGGCAGAAAATCCAAAATCATTTTTATAAAGAAGGTATTTCTGATTTTAAAGCATTTTCAGAATAACCCGAATGTTTAATTGATAATTTATCAAGCTAACATGACTTGCACGGGTGGGACATAAAAGTTCTCACATGTCCAGGAACAATTGAAATGTAATGTATGATGTGTGTCTCAGATCCTTCTGTTTAAAGAATCCAACATCGATCACACATATCACTCGATTGTTGTCAAATAGCTTCCAATTTATAGAAAAGGACGTTCGAACTTTTGTTCATGGGATGATAAATGCATTAGAAATACTTTCATATATAGGTGAGTCATGTCTACAACCTGTTTAATTACAGTTAACAATTTTAATTGTTTGTGGACCTGTAATACATAGTGTTAGTAATAATAAAAGTACACCCGTGAAATTGTTGTTAGTCAGAGTCATTTGCGTGGTTTTGCGGAAAGGTGCAATCCTGATGTTCTTCTAATCTCTGTTGCTGCGAACTAAGGGGGTTTACTTGGACTTTGAGTTTTAAATATTGAAGAGCATATGTTCCCAAAATGCAATCGTGGTATAACTTTCAATCTTTATCGAAATTCAACAGAAAAAGGATTTGGTTCGAAATTGTACTTTTCTTCAAATATTTAGTACAAATTATGAACTTAACCTTTTCTTGACGCTCCTTTTCGATCGTAATTTCGAGCTACTCCACTTTTCAACACGTTAAAACAAGATTTTTGTATGATCGTGGGGATCTCGTTATCATGGATTACATGATTTGACAAATAAATGTATTGTCGACGTACCCTTTGTTATTATAAGTGGACATATAGTGTGTCGACGAAAGAATGACGTCATGATCTAGCATTATCTGTTTTGCACTTTGACAGAACATTTCAGTATTTCCTTTTTTCCATTTTGAAGCTGAAGATATTGTTTTCTAAAATAATAAGATATGTATAACTACGTCTCATATAACACTTAATGAATTGATAATTGTTACATATAGATGAAAGTAAATTAGAGATTATAAACAGTCTGTATACAAACAGTTTACTGCAGCATCACACATGATTACCACGTGACTGAGAAAGATGATTGCTATTCAACGTGTTACTAAATATAAAAATGATGACACATACGAAAAAATTATATAATTAACGTTTTAATCAGTTTATACATCTGTGAAAATGTATAAATAAGTCATATTGGAAAATCATTTTAAACAAATTTCCAAATATCCACTCTCTTTCATAAATAGTAATTTTTCCTCTCTTACACCACACCATCAGAGCTAATCCCAACAAATCACATGTTTTAACATGTCGTCTACTACACAGACGGCCTATCCAGATTAAATCGAGCGTGTTTCTCACCTTAAACCGTTTGACTTTAATTACCTGCTACATTTTTAATCATTCTCTTAACAAATGAATAAACAGGCGAGTTCTGTAAGTAAATGTAAGCTTTCCCTTCGGCTCTACTGTTCACAGTCAGAACTGATATATTAGTATACTCTGAGCACCAGTTTTAAAATTATCCTTTTCGATATTGATATTACTTAAATCTTTGAGTCTGTTTCCATTGATGTTCTTTCGGCCAGACTTAGAACAGATTAATTAGAACCCCAGGTACAGCTTACATTAGGTGAATGAAACTCAGCACTTTTCCACCTTTATGTCACTAGTCACTAGCCTTGTAGTCAGCTGTAGAGCGAAATACTACACGTTAAAGTATAGAGAGGTCACATAAAGTAATGCTTGTAAATGTTATTTAGCACTGCCATGAAAAACTCCAAAGTCATCACATTCATTTGCATATTCTCAACAGCCACTTAAAATAATCCATTACATGCAAAATTCATACGAAAGGCAGTGTAATTACTGAGATCAATAATAACAAGTATTGTTTTGCACTTAGCTTTGTAAATCCGTTAATTGTTTGTCGGTAAATAATATTCATATCCTCCATTTGTCAGAGTTTTTGACGTCATTGCACGCATTACTTATTGGCAAAAATTGCACGTTTAATCTATGTGAATAGTTCGACAGAAAGGTGATAGAAACCTACACAACAAATGATGACGTTTATCACACATATGTTGATTGAAGAAACTGGGGTCCAGTCTCAATACCAAAATCTAATGGCGGGCTGTCCATAGTCGTGTAACCATCCTCGTCAAGAAACTCGCCACATTTCACCTGATTCACGCTGATTCCAAGGTCTTTGAGTTTCGATTCAATTTCTAATGATTCCGAGAAATCAGCACGGTTCTGCCTGTTAGACAGAAGAAGGTAAAAGTTTTCTCGTCGTTTCGGCGGGGGTTGTTTGATGTCATCAATATAGTCCAAAAGGTCAGAGGTCGAAAGTTTAGATGCTCCTTTACTTAAAGGCGCATTTTCGTTAACCTTTCTGAGATCCATACTGCCGTAACCGTCCCATGAGTTTGCCCTTGACCTTGACTTATTGACGTGATGATGTGTTGAAATAGCACTGAAACTTGCCCTTTCTGGAATGTTGGAGTTAATGTCCCGCATCAATAAATATTGTTGTTTTTGTTGTTCTTGTTTCTCCTGCTGTTGTTGTTTATATTGTAGTATTTTCTGTTGTTTTTCCAACTCCTGCTTCTGTTGGAGAAGTTGAAGCTGTTGTTGCTGCCTAATAAGCTGTTGTTTCTGTAACAGTTGTAAGCGCCGCTGAGCTGGAGCTTTATGTGCCTGAGATAACTGTTCTGATACAGGACGCTTTTGTTTATAACCAGTCGGCAATAATGGTTGCGGTTTGACCGGAAGTTCTTGTGATGATGGACGTTGTTTTGGTTGTTTTTTGGAGTTTTTAATCACAGTTGAATCACTGGTTTCACTTTTTACTCTATTAATGTGCTGTTGTTGTGCAGCGTTAAACAGTATCCCATGGTTTACATTACCTCGCTGGTTCCCAGGAAATGACGAAAACTGCGGCATTAACGATTGCGGATGTGAAACACGATTCCTTGGACACTGTATGAGGTTCTGAGGTATGAAGGGTTGTGTATGCATGATGAAACTAGAGTTCATAAAACCACTTGATTTTGGCATCCTGTGGTCGTTCCTGGCGGGAAGAGCAGGAGGCTCATATGGCACGAAAGGGCAATCAGGGTGTAAACGCTGTAATTTTACTGGAATACCATTCATTCGAAGGCGCATGTGTTCCTCGTACGACAGCATCTCATCCCCGGGGATTGTTTCATACACGTGATCGTCCCTAGGATCCCTCTTAGGTGTTTGACACCCGGGAAGCCGCGTCGTAGCGTAGGGCATACAGTCATTGATATTGGTGGTCCAGTTTTGATTTATCATGGCCGGTCTGGGAGTGGTCATGTTATCTGGTACTTGGGGATGAAACGGATGCACGTCATTTCCGCTCCCCTCCCAGTGCACAGTGGAATTGTCATTTGCTGCAACACTGGTGTCCTCCTCCAGATAGCACGGCTGACTCGCACTCTTGGAGGGATTTTCGTTCGTTGAAGCACGTGCACTGTCTGAATGTGGCAGTGCTGCATTGCGATCAAAGTCAGTGGGATCAGCTCCAAGAGGGCGTCTTAAACACCTCACAGACACTTTTGGTGGATTACCAACAACTCTGTCGAAATGTTTTGGTTGTGGAACCTGATTTACATTTGTAAGTACATTATCACATTGAGTTTGAAGTGGTTTAATAGCTTTAAATTGATCTTGGCCTAAACCAGTTTTTGTGCACGTGTTCGTTGGCGTCGTTTCGCTCGAAGATGACGATGATGGAAGGTTGGGGTTGTCCCCAATCAATCTTTCTGGTTTTAGAGGAGGGGTATTCCTACGAGGTTTCCTCCCTTTCTTTTTACCTTCAGCAGAGTTTTCTTCGGTTTGAAGGTCATGAATGATCTCAAACATTGACCTTGCAACCTTTGTTAATTGATAACTATTTCTCTCTTTAGGGGAAAACACGGCACTATTTCCCTGTTGTGGTGTTAGCACTCTGTCTTGTTTAGGTTTCCGAGATTTGGAATTTGATTTTAAATCATTTGGCACAGAATTGTCTTTTCCTTGATTGTCGGGCATCCTATTAAGAATGACTTGTGGAGATGAGGTTGGCGTGACGTCTCCATCAACAGGCGCGGTCACTTCCGCGTTAAGATTGGAGTCCGACATCGAGAAATAGTCCGTCAATGGATCGTTATCTCCTTCCGCTGTTTTGGTACTCACATTGTTGGCTTTATTTCTCTTAAAAAATATATTGTCAATATCTGCCTCACATGTATGCAGGGAATCACTTTCATATCCACTTGAAATCGTAACAGGTGATGACTCGTTAGAATGAAAAATATCAGCACTGACATCATGAGCAGAATCATCCGGAGTAGATGTTATTTTGTTGTCCGATCGTCCGGCCAAATTGACTCGGTCAAGGGAAAGTGTCTGTGGAGGTTTGTGTCGCGGCACGACGCTGTCCGGTCGTGGATGTAAATATCCACCATCTTGTGAATGAAAAGAGATATCATGTCTGACGGACACACGTAAAGGATCAGTCATGATTCGATCGTTCATGGACCCACTGTCCCAGTCAAATCGACAGTTGTCCAGTGGCAGGATGCCCTGTAGACGAAGTGAGTTCCAGCACTTACTTTGGACACTGAGTTTGTTAGTGATACAAGGATCTTCCCGCAAAGCGTTGTCTGTGATGGCTTGGAGCGCCCGCACGTTCACGATTCTCGGGCCACAATGAGTTGTTTCGACCCGTGCAGGGTTTCTTACACACCGACCAACAGAATGTATCTGATCTGCGGACTGATTAAGACGATCCGTGTGACTGAGACACCTATTTTCCAATCCGACCTGAGGATTGTAACGCCGAACTTGGCCATTGTTTGGCCCTAATGTGGCACTGTTTTGACTCTGACGCGGAACACTTCCACGTAACAATACCCCGTGTGATTCTGTCACTGCTCCCGAAACAATGACCCGCGAATTAACAGTCTTATCAGCTGTTCCCTGAGAATTCACACATCTTGATGATCTACATACACCCTGGTTCGTGCTCCCAACACTGCCGAGGCGCCCTTCACTCAAATCATGCATTCTATCTCGGTTGCGATTCCACTGATCGGCCCGGCCAATCTCCATTGAACTCACGCCTGCAGAACCATCCAGATCGAATTTCTGTCGATTGTTACGAGTTTTTTTGGCCCTTTCAGTCTTCACAATCCGCTGTATTTTAGCTATCTGATATGAAACAGTAGTACTGTACCTTCTTTTGTATTCAAATTCTTTATCTCTTATAGTGGGACACCGCGATTCAGTTTGAATAGGTTTAAATCCAACTTGGTTTTTAAAATCCTCACACAAAACGCGTTTTGATTGAATGATTTCTTTCTGAGATGTGGCGATGACCGATGGTGATCGTGGTCTTCTCACAGGACTGCTGCCAGGAGAGGAGATGTAGGTATCAATATTTATCCTGGTAGTCAGAATTTCCTTGGACTTGTTAGGATACTTCAGGCAGACAAAATCTTCAAATGTAACATAGAGGAGCCACATCTGCCGCGTCAATTCCGAGCTCTGAGTTCGGAGGTCAACCTGCAACAACAATTAGACGTAAAAGTTAGACGAGGTGCTCCAACGTTGTATGAATTAACATAGTTACTGGTGTAAAAGTCATAGGTCATAAGACAATGATATATATAACTAGAAATTAAATTATTGTGCCGTAACACTGTCAACAACAGGTCACTTATGTCCTGGAAAAGTTCCGGCGAGACTGGTCGCCAAGGCAACCAATTGCCGAAAAACGACAATGAAGACAAAGCATGCCTAGTGACCATGAAGACCTTGCGGGTATTCATCATGTATGTTGAATATTAAATAGCAAACAAACGTTTTATGAACGTTGATTTATCTATTCACTTAATTGTGACATAACAATGTTTGATAAAAAAATAATTTGGTCGAACAATTTGTTATAAGTATAAAGTTCAATAGAATTTTAATGTTCTTTTTTTTCAAAATAAACGGAGTGTTCAGCCTCGCTGACTATTCTGAACCTAGCGTTAATCTAATACATCTGTTTGTACATAGGTTACAGAGAGTACGTCCCTGGCCATTCCTATAACTTGTATACCTGTACATAGGACACAAAGAATGCTCTGCTCGTTCGGGAAGATCATGTGGAAGATCCAAACAGCGATATAATTATAAAACGCTGTCTGGGGAATTTATTTATATTTTCTCGAACAAGAGATTTGATGGTGCATGACAGAGTATTTTTAATAAAACTTATCATGAAGCGTTGAACTGTTTAAAACCCAGCTTCAGGTGTCCCTGTCTATTCGCTACGGGCAATATCGTATGAGCATGATATGGCCTACTGATAGCAAAAATGCTTAATTTCTGTAATACATCTTTAAAGAAAACCACAATCAGAAATACTTGAAATTAGGAATGTCATAGCTGAATAAAGCTGCACGATGTTGTACGAAATGAGATAACAATGCTCAGCAAGTCAACGAAAAACGTTACAAAAACTAACAAACCAGCATACATCTGTCTAAACTGTGCTAATGATGGCAGACTGTAACGTAGATTTTACGCCAATAATTAGATAGGACACACAACTGTTTAGGCCCTTAGGAAATATACGTGTTGTCGTCTAGATCCTATCGTGCTGGGGTAAAGCTAGCGTGGAACATTACGAATCGTAAAAGGCATTGAAAACTTTATGTGTCGTTTCATGACAAAAAGTGTCATTTGAAATCCGTATTTGTATTATAAAACAAGCATCGATGATTTACTTTAGTAAAGAAGGAGGGGTGGAACGAATACTCTAAAATTATCGCAACATAACAAACGTGTCAGCTTGATATTTTTGAAGATACCTCCTGACATCGGAAATAAAAGAAAAGGTTTGCTTCGGAGTGTATCGGAAAAATCTTTTCTGTCATTTTACAAAGGGCGTGGCAAAAATAATTTCTAAATGTAATGGTAGTCATTGAAACAAAATTACCGAGCACCTAATTAAACGCTGCCATTTTTTCAGTTATTGATTGTAAATAATTACTATTTCGTAAAAAAAAGCAAAGAATAACAAGGCAACGTGCAAAGCTTTAGAATGAGATTAAATTGACTTTGTTCAGAAAACCAATTTTGGTGACTTGATGGCGCGGTTTGACATGGGATAAGATATCGGGCTACACAAATTTAATACAAACTTTCTATCAAAACCACTTTATTTCTTGACGTACACCGTATTCTAACCACTTCCGATGATGATTGTGTGTTCGCTGGTCGTGGAATTTATTGGTAGCACATTTGGTGGTGACGTAAACTTGAGATATTCACATATATTTGGATATGTTTGATATTATACCTGAAATATGATCTCACCTGGGCTTATTTGCATATTTTGGCTTTTAGCGACAGATAGGAAGTGATAATGTCACGGAGTCATTAATCACAGATAAATGTTTACAGGTAGGAGTTTTACAGGTAGATTATGGTCAGAATCCTAACACAATGTGTTACCTGTCATACCAAGTGACCTAGGTGAGGTTAGTAGTTTGCTTCAGGTGAAATAAGGCTGATACACATAATTATACTATTCAGGTGTGAACGCATATGATTAAATCTTGTGATAAATGTCGTCCCATTAAGCGGTTATTCTAAATGCATTCTATATTGATAAAAAAAATCTGTGTGATAGATATTAATGAAATATATTTCCCCAATAGTTATTATATTTTCAAATGAAGCATCCTAATGAAACCATTTCACAATACATTTTCATAAAATAGTCTACGGTGCGTGTGTCAGATTTTCATTTTTCACGTACGCGCGTTTCACATAGAAAGCACGTGTCACACTATCATGTGAAATTCGTGATTGCAGAAGTAAGAGATATTGCGTTGTTAGGTTATATGGGCTGGATAAACCATGCAGGTGAAATTGCGGAATGGGTAACGTGTGATTCCTGAGGTTAGTTCGTGATCTGTAATCCTTATTTAAGGGCTATCGTGTTGGCCCCGGTCCCTTCAATTGATCAACATGTCATCTTAAAGCGGATTAGAATCGTCAGTGTTCGTCTCCTTCACATAATCGCCCGTCCTAGCAGGATTTCGTCCCGTCAGACAAGGCTTTAACACGACAGAGTTATCGTCCGTGAATCATTTAGACAATTTGTATGACAGGTTAGGCTGTATAGATCTATGATGTCCATACACCTCTATCGGCCCTGTCACTCACCAGCTAACAATATATATTGATATAAAGAACAATAGCCTGCTTGTACTCATCAGCACATTAAGTAGATTGTTTACATCTTAAAATCGAGAAAAAGAATTAGATGTAAACATCTCTCCCTTTGATATCAAACCATGAAATAATGCCAGGAAAAAGACGCATACCTTTGTGATAATGAAAGTTACAGGTCGTTTTTTATTTTTTTTTTTTAAAAAGGTCGTGAACTAAAAAAATCTTCGAACACAAGAATGTGTGTTTGTTTTAAATATCAAATTCAAACACGATGCCCCGAGATGTCCACACATAGACACAATGTTTCGGATTAGCAGCTTTGTACGGTGACACATATCCCTTGACAAAATACGGAAACGATTTATGTCATTAAGACCGTAAACCTGTCGTATTTAGTTTCTACAGTGTATTGGTGGTCAGGGTTCTGGTCATCTCAGAAGATTTGACCATGGGTATCGTCACTTCGTCTAAACTGTTCAGAGGCGGAGTAATCCCTGGCCTAATTGGATGTCCACCCTCCTCTCCCCCTGTAGGGATAATGGAACCCTTATTTCCTTATGGTCGGCTCGTTTGTTCACAGATCTTTGATCCATGGATCTAAGCCTCCCCACACCCCCTTTCTTGTGGCTTAGCCGTGGCATGGTGGTGTCACTGTATTATCATATTACCTCTCTGACAAATAAGTTAAAATTGCCCACTGATTTCCTTCTCAGCGTGGTATATTGCGAGGAAGTACCCTTTGCACTGCCCCACCCACAATTCCTCACCGATACCAAGTTTTTATAATGATAGAAATGTTGCTATGATTACCCCTCAAACCAGTTGTCTCGAGTGCCTATTATCACAGGGTCATCTACACAGACTCTTTGTTATAAATTCTAATAATTCTCAACAATGTTGCTTGCTGAAATAATAAGGAAATAATTGGCGTAAACATTTCTAATACATGTTATCATTTTTCAGACTGCGTAGTTGATTGAATTGAATATGTTTTCTAAAGTACATAATACTTGTCTACCTACACTTGTCAGGTGAGAACATAACTTAATTAACACTGTGGTAACATAATGAGGGCGGGTCTTTGTTGATGTAGCCGATAATCAGGTATTCAAGAGGTAGTGTAAAATAGTGCTAATTCAACCGACAATGGGTTGTATATTAATAATTGATAGACAAATGTAGACGGTCAGTTGTGTGGTTACAGACATTGGTCAGTGGCTCCACGTGAATTATTCATCGTATTCTATCACACACGTTACTATAATTAAACCGGTGGTTAAGTTGACCTAATTAGTCTACAGGCGTTGTATATATTCATGTTACTGTGCTGTCCGTTGTTATCAGATCAAGTAACGTAATATTCTCCTCGCGAACAAGATATTTTACATTAGCTACTACACAAAAATCTGGAATTCATTCTTGAATAAACAGAACTTGAATTGTTATCTTATGTTCTTTGGGTTTTCTTTTTTTATAATTAGGGGTCAAACTTTTGGTACACTCTCGGGGCACACTTTGTGTGACGCCCACATTAAACCAGCAAGAATTTGTATACAACACCTGTGATTAACAGCTTGTACATTTCACCTGAGACTTTCATACAGGTACGATAAACAGTAAACAAACATGCTTTCCGACTGATGGACTCTGACAAATGTAACACGTCTGCGTCAGGTTCACAACTGTATTACAATAGAAGCTGTGATGTCTCATGAACAAAATTGATAGGTTTAAGCTCGGCATTTCGATCGATCGTTTTGATCAAATCGGCAAAGAGATGTTAAACCATGTCACTATCAGTGAAATAGCTTTATAATAACTGTACATATTTCTACACCTTCACTCACATTACACAAAAAAGGCAAAAATACAAGTTTCGGAACAAATAATTGATAAGTAATGGAGTTATTCCCCCAGGAATACAAGAACATATACACGTGCAAGTGGTGTCATCGCGGTCGAGCGCGCGTTAGTACATTTCATGTGTAGACTTCAGAGGAAGAAAGTGTTAATTTATACATGATTTTGTACTACAAATTCTACAAATGTAGAAATTGGAAATTGGCACACGATATGTGTGTTCTATAAAACGTATCAATAATTGATTAATAATATCGATAATTCGTCTGTCACGGTGACGTTTTACAGCTGAATCCACTTATGTCGCTCTGCTCTCTCAACATTGCATGCGAAGAGGCAATGCGGGTCCAAGGGGAATTTCTTGGCCGCTTACTCTCCTCGCAGTGCAGGTCTTATAGGTCGCTGCACTACAGAATGTACCAGACATACCAGCAATAAAGACGAGTATATACAGAAAGAGACTTCCC